AAATAATTGATATGGTTAATAATAATTTTAAATAATTAATATTAACTAATGATTTTCAATTACTATTAATTATTATTTATTTTATTTATAATTAATATTAATAAATAATAATTAATATTAATGAGAGTTATAATTGAAAAAAATGACAATAAGGCCCCAAAATGCTACTGCAAGTAGTGTTTCAATAAGCTAGCTTATATATACATAAAAAAATGTGTAGTTAAAACATAAGATAGCTTATAAACTAACTTATGTTTACCAAACAATATTTAACCGTGAGTTCATGACATATATAAATTCATAAAATTGTAAGTGATTGATTAAATTTTTTTATAAAAATATAATATCTAAAATTTAAAAATTTAAAAACACAAAATATAAAATTAGCTTGCAATACTAACTAATGCTTAGTATAGACTCTACTTATAGATGAGTTAAATTTTTTGGTTAAACTTAATTTATAAATTATTTTGTCACTTATTTTAGAGTAAATATATTATGGTTTAATGTAATAATAGTATAATATTTACAATGTTGAACAACGATCAAATGCTGGTCAATGACGGAGGTAGTTGAATATTTAAAATTGATGATTTAAAAATGAAATTATATTAAGGTTTGATATAGAATGTGAAGAAATGGTAATAGAGTGAAACTGAAAGTGATGGTTTGTGTTGGTAATAGTAAAAATTCAGTTTGTATATACAGTGGGTTTAAGGAAGAAAAAACAAAATAAGATAAATGTTGTATTGGGAAAGAATATGTTGGAAATAAAGGAATAATAAGTCAACATCTCGATGAGGGGGTCATGTGGATTCGTTACGCACCGCACACCGGCCAGTACGTAAGGGTCAGTCGCTGACGGTTCAGGTCACATTGTCGCAAATTTCAAATTCTTTTTACTATTTAGTTTCATTATGCACCAGTTAGTGCGTAACTGTTAATTGAGGGGTCATTTTTTGAATTTTTTATTTGAAAGTTATTTTTGTAATCTCGATTTATAAAAAGGTTATTTTAGTTAAGAATCCATAACATTTCATTACAATATTAGGTTTATAAGACGTCTAAAATGTTTAAACGTTCTAATATAATACTTTATAGGATGACACAAAAAAGTGTCATATCTGAAAGTATTACAATATGTTGATAGGACGTTTTTAGATGTCTTGACAAGTTTTTAAGACGATTTGAAAATAAAGTGTCGTATTAGTTATTTTATATGACAATTTTGAAAAATTATCTTACGTTCGAACACAAGTGTCCTATAAAATATAAATAGATGAGTTTATAGGAGACATCTAAAAAAATTATATAAAATAACTAACACATCAAATTTTATTAAAAAAAATATTCTAATAAACTTGTTTCAACGCTCAAAAAACGTCGTATATATCTATCATAACACTTTTTGATATGACGTTTTATAGTATGGTCTTATAAACTTAACTCATAAAAAATATTTCATTCGTTAAATTTATGTAACTGCTAACTCGTCAATTCAACTTAACCCTCCCACCCCAACCCACAAAAGTTGTGTTATCTATATTATATTAACATTTGACAAAAACTCTTAAAAATTATTTTTTATGCACAAAGTACTATTTATTGATGCACAATACTTAAAATTCAAGATTACAAGTAAATTGTGCATAAGTACAAATTATTAAAGTTCTATGTTTTCATGTACTAACTACAGATAAATATAATCTAATATAACATAAACATCTCATTTTCAATATAAAATATCTAAAATAAAATTAGGATAATCATTGAGTTCTAACATAATACTTAATTATTATCTTTACGAAAAATTATATTATTAAACCTAAATTAAATTACTTCGTTATTAAACCTAAATCAAATTATAATAAGAAAAATTAAATTGAAAAAAATTACACAAAATAAAAAGTAGAAATTTTAAATAGTTAGTTTGATACTAATATCAATATATTTTTTTCAAATTCTTTGGATATCCTCATATTTATATTTTATGTAAAAGTAAAAACATTATCATTTTCTTAAAATCACATAAAACTGTATTATAACATCGAAGAAAGAAACGAAACATTAAAGTCGAGATGTATTTCAATATATTGCATGAGTACTCTTCTAGTACTTTTAAAACAGTCGGGTTAGATTGAAAATTTCTAAAAGGAAAATTGCCCCAAAATGGAATCACCTTTCATCTGATTCTTATTTTGGGGAACCAACTTTCAAAATTGTCATTTAGGGGTGTTTATCAAACTTTTTGTTTATTTAAGGGTCTAGTTGACCTATTAATGCTAACATCATCCAGATCTTTTGCCAATTAAGATATTCCACGTCATTAATTTTTTATTTTAAAACTAATATTCCACGTCATATTTAAAATTACAAAATAATTATAGAAAATTAACTAAAATTCGTTTTTTTCCCAAAAATTATTGTAATAAAATCTATTTTTTATTCCAAATCTCGTTTTTAAAGAAAATTCAGATATCAAATTGTGAGTAAAGAAGTTCATTTTTGAAAAAATCTTCAATTTGATGTATGAATTTTAAAAAAAAAAAACGAGATTTGGAATGAAAAATGGATTTTATTACAATAATTTTAGGAAAAAAACGAATTTTAATTATTTTTCTATAATTATTTTACAATTTTAAATATAACGTGAAATATTAGTTTTAAAATAAAAAATTAATATGACGTGAAATATCTTAGTTGACAAAAGATCTGGATGATGTCAGCACTAATAGGTCAACAGGTCAACCAGACCCTTAAATAAACAAAAAGTTTGATAGAAATCCCTAAATGACAATTATAAAAGTTGATTTCCCAAAATAAGAATCATGTGAAATTTTAAATATAACGTGAAATATTAGTTTTAAAATAAAAAATTAATATGACGTGAAATATCTTAGTTGTCAAAAGATCTTGATAATGTCAGCATTAATAAGTCAACAAGTCAACCAGACTCTTAAATAAACAAAAAATTTGATAGAGACCTCTAAATGACAATTATAAAAGTTGATTCTCCAAAATAAAAATCATATAAAAATTGGTTTCATTTTAATATAATTTTCCTTTCTTAAATCATTATAATTAAGATGGGTTATAGAAATCGTCTTAACCAACCCGTGTACGTATCTACAAATACCAAAGACGTGAACGTTTATAAGATAGACGTACATATATAATTATATATAAATATCTGTGGGATCCACCCTGCATCAACCAACCAGATTCCCGGCAGATATCCAACGTGGATGAGCGCCACGTGGACCCAGAATGAAATAATGGATTCCCGACAAATTCACGAAACCAGGCGCCCTTTTTCGCCAGTTCCCAAAACTCATTAACGGCTACTTTCATTATCATATCCCCCAACATTATTTTTATTTTAATAATTAATAAAATAACTGTTTTCCATTTGGCGCCAATTCCACTTGCTTTTTTCTTTATTCTCTTTGACTCCACCAAATCAGCAAAAAAAACAGGAAGAACCTCTTCATTGCAAACCAACACATTTTAATTTAACTTTTTATCCAATAACAAATAATAAAATACATTTAACGACCATTTCAATTACACATCAAATAAAAATTGATTATTTAAATCGGCGAAGGAAGGGATGTCGGGTCGGCAGACGATTGCATATCGGGTCCCACCCGACACCCTTCCAGCATGAACACCACATCTGACATCGAGGGCCTGTCGGTTGGGTCGGATGTGGTGCATAGCAACCCGACCTTTAAACCTAGCAAAAACTCTTCCCACTCGGATGATTCCGGGTCGAGCTCAAGCAGGCCTGGTTCCAAGAGTTCAGAAACCTGGCCTCGTTGTAATTGTCGTTTCACCCACTTCACGATGTCCTCATCCTGGTTAAACATTACGGGCTTCTTGCCCGTTAGGATCTCGAGCAAAACGACTCCATAACTGTAAATGTCTGCTTCTTTTGTGGTTTCACCGGTTAATGTGGCCTCAGGGGCCACATACCCGGGTGTCCCGATTGGGCTTGTGGCGGTGGATGTCGATGGTTCGGCATGTGTAGGTACGGTTAGCTTATTGAGGCCGAAATCGGAGATATGGGCTTCAAAATCAGCATCAAAAAGTATGTTTTGCGGTTTGATGTCTCCATGGACCATTGGGATAGAGTGCACAAAGGCTAGCCCTCGAGCGATTCCTAACGCGATCAAATGCCTCATCGGCCAATTCAAAACGTGCCCATCTTGATGCGATGCCTCTTGGAGAAGCGTGGCTAAGTTTCCGTTGGGCATGTAGTCGTAAACCAGTAAGCGCACGTTATCAGACCGACTTGCAAAATACCCACGGAGAACTGTTAAGTTCCGATGCTTGACTTTCCCGAGTGATTCAGCTTCTCTACGGAAAGTTCCTTCGGGCACAGAAGTATCTGGAAGGCGACGGATGGAAAGAACCGTTCCATCAGCAAACGAGGCTTTGAAAAGAAGCCCGAACGTGCCACGACTCAATACGTTTTCCTCATCGAATTGCCTTGTTGCCTCGAGGGCGTCCGAATACGTGATTTTATTCTTGAAAATCACTAGCTTTGGAGTCCCGTTTTCTCCTCCGCTGCTATGGTCTCGGCCGGAGCTTCCACGGCCGGGGCTTGGCTTCTTCACTTCACCAGACTTCCCCATTCTTGACAACTTTCTCCGCCACCGGAGTAGCAGATAAACATACCCACAACAAGAAAGTAACAAAAGCAAACCACCTCCGGCGGCCAGACAAATCAGCAGAATCAGTTTCTTCTTCGTTGAAGAAATCTTTTTCTTGCAGTTCTTCATTAATGGCTTCCCACATAAACGATTGTTCATTTCGAATACCAAAGGATCGGTGAATCGAGAACCTAAAATCTTCGGTATCTCACCTTCAAGATCGTTTCTCGAAAGGTTCAAATGTTTCAGGTTAGGAATCATCGAAAGACTTGCAGGAATTTTTCCGGTGAAATTATTTGAAGAGATATCCAACTCTGCTAAGTTTGAGAGCTTTGAGATTGATTCTGGAATGTGGCCGGAAAAATGATTGGAATCCAATAACAAAGAATTGAGGGAAGAACAATCTGAAATTTTTTCAGGGATTTCGCCGGTTAATCTGTTATGACTCAGATCAAGCTTTTCAAGATGGGAGAGTTGTGAGAGAGTCACCGGAATTAAACCGGTTAAAGAATTCCGACCAAGCTCTAGAACTTCAAGATTCGAAGCATTCCCCAATGCCGCCGGAATGGAATTTGTGATTCTGTTATCTAAGAGAGAAAGCACAGTGAGGGATGAGAGGAAACCATACTCCGCCGGAATATTGCCGGAAAAGGAATTGGATGACAGATTCAGATGCTGCAGACTTGACAAACTACTAAAACCTTGGGGAACATCACCGAAAAAATCATTTTCCTCCAAAGCAACAACTTTCAGATTTGGCAACCCGAAAAGCTCAACCGGCAATTCACCAGAGAAACTCTGCTTACTCAAATCAAGGATACTGAGACTTCTCAAATTCGCTATTGCAGTCGGAAATTCACCGGAAAACCGGCAACGACTCATGTTCAATTCAGTTAAGCCTGGTAAATCCCCAATGATGATCGGAAAATCGCCTGAAAAGTTGTTATTGCTCAAATTCAAAGAAGTTAAGTTGCTAAGCTGTGTTAATTTACTTGGCAAAGCTCCGGTTAACTTATTGTTGCTCAAATTCAACGATTCCAGCTCCGAAAGGCCAGCAATACTCGAAGGTATACCGCCATTGAAAAGATTTCTTCCAAGTGAGAGGACTTTTAAGCTCACAAAGTCCCCAAAAATATCGGGAATTAGACCTGAAAATCTATTTCCTTCAAGATCAAGAACATGTAGTAGGCTGCATTTTCGAATTCCTATCGGAACTTCACCAATTATAGAATTGTTAGCCACCTTAAGTTCCTCCAAAGTTGACAGATTTCCGATTTCAGCCGGCAAGATGCCAGAAAAGGAATTTCCAGATAGATCCAAGCTTCGAAGTGTACGTAAATTTGTTAGCCAAACAGGAAAGGTTTCATATATGTGATTCTCGTGAAGATCTAATACTTGTATAAACCTTGAGAATGTTGTCGAATTTGGGGGTTTGATTAAACCCGTGACTGCATTAAACCCTAGCTTGAGGATTCTTATTGAATTACCAGGGTTCGATAAAAGAGATGCGGGGATTGGACCTGATAACGCATTGCCGGAAAGAGATATCACTTGAAGATTAGGAAGGTCGCCAATACTCGCCGGAACTAGTCCCTCGAGTTGGTTATCATCGGCGCTCAAGTGAACTAGCGACGAACAGTTAGCAATCGCCGACGGCAGTGTACCGTATAACTGATTCGAGTCGAGAAATAAGTACTGAAGCTTCTGGAAGCTGCCGATGATCGGTGGAATCTGGCCGGAAAACGAATTGAATGATAAGTTAATGAGCTGGATCTCAGGCGCCACCGAGAAGTTCCCCGGGATGTTTCCGGAGAAGGCATTGGAAGAAACGTCTACATATTGAACTCTAGGAGGTAGGTTGCCGGAAATTTCGCCGGAAAGGAGGTTACTAGCAACGTTAAGTACCAATAAATTGGTTAGGTTCCCCAATGCCGGCGGCAAAACGCCGGTGAAGTAGTTATACTGCAAATAAACAACTCGTAATAGAGAGCATTGAGACAAAGCCGGCGGAATAGGGCCGTTGAAGTTATTAGAATGAAGGCTCAGCTTACGCAACTGGCTCAGCTCGGAAATCCGGCTGGTCAGCCGGCCAGATAAAGCAAGGCGAGGTAAGCGGAGTTCACGTACTCTGCCGTCCCTACAAGAAACCCCACGCCAGTCACAGGGCGCAGCCGGCGTAGACACATTCCAGGCGTCCAAGGCGCCAAGGGGGTCGCGTAGATTCTGTTTGAAGGATATGAGAGCTTGTATCTCGGCGGTGGCGGAGATAGTGGCGCACACTAGGAGGGCGGCGACAAAGGAAAAAATAGCCGTTGGCATGGTAGGTTAGCAGCAGGCATGGTAGGTTAGCAGAAACAATGGAGGAAGAATCGCCATATATATATACAAATTTAGAGGGAGTGTTTCTCGTCCTTGTGAAGGGAGAGCTTTCACTTACAGAAGGGGTAAAATGGGAATACAGATTTACTCAATATTTTGTGTAACTCCTAAAATTTCAATGATATATCATAATATGAAACTACGTTTATCTATGTTCATCAATTATATAAATATATATAATGATATAAAAAATACAGATAAATAATACAAATTTAATAAAGAAATTATATTAAATATTTATATATCTATACTATATTATAAAGTATTTGACAAGAACTCTTAAAACTCAGTATTTATGCATGAAGTACTGTGCATTAATGCATATTACTTAAAATTTAAGATTACAAGTAAATTGTACGTAAGTAAAACTTATTAAAGCTTCAATTTTGAATTCATATAACTAACTGTAGATAAACCTAATCAAACATAGGATAAACATCTCATTTTGAATATAAAATATAATTAAGATAATTATTGAGTTATAACATAATCATTATTTTTATAAAAAAATTAAGTTAAATATAAATTATTCACTATCTGATCTAAATTAAATTATAATAAAAAATTGAATTAAAAAAATCGTAAAAAAACGAGAATTTTTAAATAGTTAATTTGATATTAATATCAATATACTTTTTCAAACTTTTAATATATCTTCAAAATTATTTTTATTCAAAAGTAATACATTATCTTTTCTCAAAACCACATAAACTGTATTATGTCAACAAAAACAAAAAATAAAACATAATATTAAAATAAAATGTATCACGCTGCATTACATGGATACCGTTCTAGTTAAACATAATTGATGAAGAAGAAAAAGAAAAAGAAAAAGGAAATGAAGATAAAAGGGTATTGTAGTAAATAAACAGTGAAAGAAATGGAGTAAACGTCATGTGTAGGGTCTCGTGTCATATTGTCTGCATCAGTATCACACTCTTATAGCCTGACTGACCATAATGACCATTATTTTACATCTTAACGTACACCATTTAATGCACTGCGTACAACTTCTCTATCTTCATTAACTAATTTATTCTTTTCCTATAAATATTATTTGATAAACTTATTAATTTAAATAAATTCTGTTAGAATTTTTTTATAATTCAAAGTAATAACGCATTTAAAATATTAATTTTTATTTTAATCAATAATTTATGTTCTCCACAAGACAATGTCGAGTTGAGTTTGGATTTAAACTACCCACAAGTTTTTACTGATACTCAAGCTCGATTTCGTATCATTTGCACCCATAGTTAGGTATATATTGTAACTTATATCGAAAACATATGCTTCTCATGTACATCTTTGTCTCCAATATTGAATACTCAAAAGTTAACATTGACAGATTTGGTTATTATTTGTTTATAATATATAACTAGAAGGGTATTCGTGCAATGTAGCGAGATACATCTACATTTTAATGTTTCGTTTTATCTTTTTCCTATGTTGATATAATACGGTTTGTGTGGTTTTAAGAAAGACAATGTTTTTACTTTTGAATAAAAATAAATCTGAAGATATCATAAATTTTTTAAAAAAATACATCGATATTAATGTCAAATTAACAATTTAAAAGCTCTCTTTTTGTACAATTTATTTAATTCAATTTTTTATTATAATTTAATTTAGGTCTAATAGCGAAGTAATTTATTTTTGACTTAACAATATAATTTTTATAAAAATAACGATTATGTTAGAACTCAATGATTATCCTAATTATATTTTAGATTTTTTATATTTAAAATGAGATGTTTATCTTATATTTGATTATGTTTATTTGCAGTTAGTTATACAAATTTAAAAATGAAGTTTTATAAGTTGTATTTACGCATAATTTACTTGTAATCTTAAATTTCAAGTAATATGCATTAATAAATAGTACTTTATGCATAAAAATTGATTTTTAAGAATTTTTGTCAAATACTCTATAATATAGTATAGATAAAAAAGAAATGGCATTTGTTTGATTTTCCCATCTATTCCAAATGTTAAAGAAACCACACACCATCATTAGGTTTAATAATTGTGTACAAATAATTGAAAAAGGTAAATTTGCAAATTTAATTATGGGTTGAAAGTAGGGGGTATGCTACATGTCCATAAGTCAAGTAAAATAAAATGGGTTAATTGAATACAAGAATTTACATAATTTAGGAAAAGCAGTTAATTATGAAAATAATTACCAAGCATTATCAACATATGGATCTATATATACTAGTTGTGTACCCGTGTAATGCGGCAAGAGCCATGAATTTTAACGATTTTGAAGTTCCACTAGTTTTATAAGATAAGATTTAACGATGATATATGTTACATTTGGTCTTTACATATTAATACAATTTGAATAAATAAGAGTTATGGTTCCAATTACAGATTATCGATGAAAAAAATTGTATGATAATTTAAAATCCAACATATTTAAACGACTCCACAAATGTATTCGATTTACACCAAGATCAAAGAACCAAGAAACTTGAGTTTTAAGATAAACACCCAAAATCAATAAAGAAAACTACAAATTTGACAGATCATAAACCATGAAAAGACAAAAAAAGATGGGTTTTAGGATGAAATTTCAGCTGCGTACCATCTTTCTTGTCCAGAAACTCAGGTTAAGGTTGAATTAATACATGTATATATATATATATATGTATATATATCAAAAAAATCCAAGAACATATTAATTCAAAACATATTATACAGTGCAATTTAGACAGCCTAACCCCAAAATATATAGTATATATATATATATATATATAAATAAATAACTATAAAAGTATAAATCGTAAATATTAAAAATATTTTTTCACAGTATA